GGCTCTTGCCCATTGCCGTCCGCAGTGTTCCCACAGCCGCAAGGAAACCTGCCCGGGTCCTTGCTAATGTCGCATACTTGACCGCAGTATTCCTTGTACTGCAAATAGCAGGTGCAGTTTTATAGTAAAAGCTACCCGACTACGACCCCTCCACCACATTAAAGACAGTAATCTAGCGGTGAGAGATTACAATTGCTAGGGTTGCACAGAGGAAAAAAAGGTAAGGGCGAGGCTCAAAATTTATTATTCACTTTGCTGCTCTCCTTGTCCACGCAACACCTGGTTCCCCCTTTGTGATGTCGATGGTGACCGAACGAGATCATTGATCTGCGGTGAGACTGGAAGATGAGCCCCCTTTGATTTTTTGTGGGGTCCCGGGTATTTAAAGGAGAAAAACCAATGTCAGAGTGCGGCAGCAGTTCAGGTCATTATAAACCGGGGTAAGCTAACATTGTTCTGATAAACTACCGGTATAACAACGTATTGCCCTGACAGATTTCTTCCACTATCGGGATGCGCTAGCCCTTCTCGGATTGGCCTACCGGAACACTGGAAACCTGTTACAAGTCAATCTGAAGGGAACAGCCGCTCTATAAAACCCAAAACTCTTACGAAAAATGAGGTAAGTAGGAACCAGCATGTGGTAAGCCGAAGTAATCCTTTGGAGCTGAATATATTGGGCATCCGGGATCCCAGATCACAATGGCAACTAACACCAGGATCCGGAGAGCGCTTTCTGCCCTATGGCTCCACAGTGATGAATTTCTGTCTAGAGTCAGTGCCGGTACTGTATTTACTCGGACAATCCACTATCGATAAGCAACGGAGCTAAACTACGAGAGGCTTAGCTGAGCAAGTTACCGAAATTGCGAACACCAGTTCACGAGATCCACAAGTTTCAGCCCGCCCGAGCCATACCACGTCAGGTAAACACTGCTCCTTCCTGAGGTGTTTTGTCTGTGGCGGCGGAGGTTAGAGGCCTGACGGAGATAGCGGATTGTCCGAGTAAATACGGTCAAGCAAGACGGGAAAGGTGTGAGGAATATCGCCCATCCTGACATATTAGTTAAGCCATCTTCCCCGATATCCAAGAATATCCCGAAATTAAGTAGAGCATTTCCCGTTAGGCAGTCCCCACGACTCCAATGATAGGTTACCATGAGGATATCAGGAGGATGCGTCAAGTTTAACCAGCCGAACGAGCACCGGGTAGGGGCTCTCCATTTGATCGAATTAACTCTCGGAATCGCTACCCCAACGCCCCCGGGGAAGTTGCATAAAGAGCCCTTCATTCTCCCTGAGCATCACTCCCTTCCTTCCTCACCACTCCACACCTATACTCTTCTCCGCACCAAAAACCCCCCACCCCAGTACACATTAGACCTAGTTTGAAAATGCAACTCCTAACCCTTGCCGTTACCATCTTCTTGGCCGCTTCCAGAATCACCGCCCAGCAGTTGAGCATCACTCTTTGGAACGAGCCCAACTACCAAGCCGGGGAGGGCGTCACTGCCGCCGGAAACCGACTCACCCTAAACACCGGCGAGGACACTTACATCGGGGCCTTGAACGCAAACCTAGTCGATAGGTAAGAAAAAAAGTTACTACCAGCCCCAGGGGAACACCTCGGACAAATATCCATGTTGAATGATATAGTGCCAAGATCCCGCCCGAATACGTCTGCCTTTTCTTCGGTGGGTATAAGGATGGTAAATGCATTGAAGGCGAGGACGAGTTCCAGTGTGTTGAGGGTAATAAGTAAGTTTTTCCACTATGCCTTCCACCTTGTCATCGCAGAGTAGTACTAATTCAACCTAGTCCGGCCCTCAACCTTTCCAACACCTTCGAGTGCATCCGTTGCTTCGGCCCCGGTGCTGCTTGCGCCAGATAAACCAACTTGTTCGCGAGGAACCTCTAGATATAATTAGTCGAACGGTTAAACGTTAATGATGCGGAGATAGACAGAAAGTTTGAGGAGTATGATACATGGAAAGGTTTATAGGAAATAGAAGATTGGGTTGAGGGATTGTTTTTGTTTTGGAGATATCTGTCCAGCCTCCCACCTTGCAGACGGGATAAAACAACAATTCCGCCTTCCTCCGAAATTGATGTTCCTATGTTTCTCTCGCTCTCTTTCTTATAACGGGATTTTGAACTCTTCCTAAATCTCAGGAAAGCCATCCACACCCGGCCAGGAAGTGGGAGGTTTTTAGGCCCTTCCATCTCCGGACCGGTAGCAATTCCTTACATCTGGGGTCATAGAATGTCACTCCTAAACGTTAACACTTGTCGGTGAACAGTGAAAGTTTGTCGATATTCCGGCCACCGCAGACCAGTACCCAGATGTCACATTTCCAAGATCGCCGCCATTAAGGTGTCGCCCGCGATCCGATAACTTCTCCAAGTTTCTTTGGAAGTAACAGCCCCCTAAGAAATTTATCGCTTACCTACTCAGACACGTGCTCAATCCAAGAAGCCACCAACCCCCACTCCAATCCAAAACGTGCTCCCCTCTGTACGAGTACGGTACCCCCAATTATTCATATGAAAGCATCAAGCTCTATCCGGCCTTACCCCACCCCTTCCCTAAAAGCGCCGCAACCGAAACCAAATTTCATTCTCGCCTCAACTCTGCTGTGAGGCCATCTCGCCAAAATTCCACCCCTTGGTCAAGACCTCGCTCGACCCGCCGCATACCGTAGCGCCACGATGGCCCGCGGTTTCCATTGACGTCAGATGCCGAATGGGCCCTTGCAGAACTGCCAATATCTGGAAGGGTTAGGGTTTGAGACCCTCGACCCCGCTTCAGGCCTGCGGGCACAATAGCCTTCCTAGATGTCCTGGATTTGTCGGGGGCGGAGTGGCATGTGGTAGGCTGCATTGTACTCGTTCGTTAGAAGGGAATAAATTGTCCTACCTTTGATAATATCAGTTTGGGTCGTTAGTGGAATAACCAGTGGCCTTGATTGACTTATGATACCATTCGGTGCCAGCCCCACCCCCGAATAAAAAAAAAGACGCAAAACCTGATGGATAATTGTAATTCAGCATTCAGCGAATGGTCCAACGCGCTATGCGCTGAAATTTCCAGAAGAATCCTAATTCTTTGGACCTCATGTGAGCCCCTGGGCCGCTCTTAGATCCAAATTAGGAACCAAATCAGCCAAACCGAAAGTTGTGAATCAGTGGATGAGTGATGATTCATGATTTTGGAAGTTCGAGTGAGCATTTTTTCCATGAGAAAATTGATATAAGGGCCGCAACAAATCCAAGACAATACTACACCTTAAGTTAGTTTTGTTCTCGCAATATATTGAGCCTTTCAAACGATTGTTTAGACAGATTATCCCCGACGGGTTGGAAGTAGGTCAATCATCCTAGATCTCGGCAATGGATCGCCAATTCTGACACGGTTCGAGAGTTGCAGTAGTGTGAGGGAACTCTTAGACAATCTCTGGGAGTTCAGGAATAGGCTTGTGTGTTGTTTGTCTTTCGGGTTTGTTATCGTGCTCACTCTCTAGTATTTCCCTCCTTTCTGGTGCGCTGGGGGAATCTTTCGGGACTGCTGAGAAATTCAAAAATTGTTTCGACACCCATATCGCTGTTAGTTAGATGAGAAGGAACTTTCTTCGCTTCCAACAGCTCGTAGGGGTCATCTATCACACGCTTGACGTAATAAGGTAACAGTTGAACGGATAGGTAGATAGGAGGAGAAAATGACAAATTTCAAAGTAAAGTCAACAAAAGCAAGGATCCCAAATATCTACCTTACGAAAGTCCGAGCTATCTTTAGGTTTCCATTAGCAAAAAGTATCAATTTGATAGGGCACTCAATTTTCCCTCTTCCTTCCCAAGAGAGTTGACAGATGAGAGTCAATAAATGAGGGCCTTAGGACTGTATCATCTGCATTGACATCGCACGGACTTGGGTTCTCAAGCAAATTTGATCAGGCGACATCCCTCAACTTGAGCCTGCAGATTAAACGTACCGGGCCTACAGAACCTACCCTATTTTTTGGTCGCCCCTTTCATGTCATCCTAAACAGAAGAGGACTCCGAGAACATGGCGTACTTTTGCAAGGCCATGACGGGGCAATTTTCCGCTTCAGCCCATAACAATGGGAATCTGTTATTTCTATCTCAACCGCATGCTGCAGTTGCGGCCCCCGCCCAAGAAACCACCGAATGAGTGGAGCCTCGCAGTTTCACAGCCACGCGTGCCAAGTACTGGCATCCCATGGGTTATTAAGGGGAATTTGTTGGGTCATCTCAGGACAGAGCGGTCCGCGGGAAGCATCCACAGAAGGGAGAAGAAACACCCATCGGTACCGGCGCCCTACCCCATTTCCCCATAGGCCAATTCACTGCCCCTGGAGTGCCTTTGTTCCGAGAGCGAAGTGAGCGACAGGGCTTGGCAAGACATGCGGCGAACCAGGGTCCAAACTCTACGAAACCACTCCACAGAGAGTGCATTGCGCAACGGGACCCACGAACGGCAACGGCACCGGAGAAGGGCTGACCCATCAAGAACTGTCTGAGTTCGGCTAACGATGACAAGCATACCGGTACCCGAGCAACTGAACCCCAACAAACTTTACAGACACTGATGTTCCAGATAGCCCTCCTGTACGAGTACCGTACTACAGTAGTACTCATCTCGCGCCAACCATCCGTGCGTACTTGTGTGGGTGAAAACAAAATAACGCCCTCAATGTTCGGGTACTTCCTGCCCTGGTGGAATACTATGCTTGAGTACGACGAGTACTAGTTACAGTACTCGTACGGCACAACCAGAGTAGAGCGGTTCAAGGAGTGCCAGGCTATGCAAGATCAGGGGTTTGGTAGATTTGGTAAAAGCAATTCAGAAACCGATGTACGAGTACTGTACGGCCAGAAGCTACCACGAACCGTAATCGGTAATCACTATGGGTCACTTGAGATGTTATTCACTCTTTTTAGTCAGGCAGATAACATAGTTTCTCACATGATGGTCTTCAAAGTTCATGATAATCCCAATACATATTCGCCAAGCAATCATTCAAAGTATTTAAAACATTTAAAACACTTAAAACATTCAAAAAGGAAAGCCAAAACCCCCCAATGCACTCCCATTCCCAATATTGCAAAAGAAAAAAGAAAGAAAAGAAAAAAACAATCCAAAAAAAAAAAAAGAAATCGTAACGAATCAGTGGGCCATGAGCGCTATTTTCTCTCCTGTGCAGGGGGGCTAGCTCCGCAAGTTCCAAGGTCTATAGCCATTCGAATTGGCCGGAGAAGGGACCAAGACCCAAATCCACGCGGCGGGATTTGCTGTTGGGGTCAAAGTAGGGCTTCTCCCCCAGGGAAACGAACATGGTCCCTCTGCGGATACCACCAAAGTCGAAGTAGTCATCTGTGGCAGTGTGGAAAGCACTGCGATTATCCCAGATAGCGACATCATGGGCGTTCTTGTTTTCGTATGCCATCCATTTCAAACTATTACCTTGTCAGAACCCATATACTCCCTAAAATCAGCGGGATGGTACTCACCGGCACTGGAGATCGTGGTTCTCGCTGACGTGCTTGAAAAGGAAGTCAAGCATATAGTCGGACTCATCCTTGGTGAGCTCATTGATGCGGCGGGTGAACCCCCTATTGACGAAGAGGCCCTTCCATCCGGTAACGGGGTTGGTGCGAATAACGGGATGAACAGCAACCAAATCGAGACCAGCGTTATGGGGAGAACCGCGGTCGGTTCTGAGCTGGAAGCCATCACGGGCAGCCACCTCAGCAAATCTGGGGGAGTCATGAGTGGCAGTCAAGCCCTCAAGTATCTGGCGGAACGAGGGGGAGAGGCGGTCGTAAGCCTGCGCGATGTTAGTATGGAATCCCGGAGGAGCCGGCGCCACTATGTGAAAAACTCACCTCATACGCGGAAGCCCAAAGGGTGTCTCCGCCAGTCTCTGGGAGGGTGGTCATCTTCAAGACGGAGTCTAATGTCCTGGTCAGTATCTAGTTGTTATTCGGGGTATTCCATTCCATACAGTCACTTGGAATCTCTTCGAAAGTGATCTCCATATGCCACCCTGAGCTGGCGAGGCCGGATCGCTCATCCTTGTAGGACGGGCGGAGTCTGCGGTTAAGACCCTTCTTTCCTTCGGTGCTAATGACCGTGACTTCATCGCCGAGTTCAGAGAACTGCAGAACCTTGTCAGCAAAATAGGGTAGCGAAAGAGTACTAGAGATGATCTTACCTCGCGGGTGAGTGGGTGGGTATGGAGCCCACTGCTGTCAGGCTTTCCGCTCAAAGCGCCCAACTTCTGAGTAAGTTCCTTCTGCTCCTGAAGGGAGATCTCCTGCGCGCGGAGGAAGACAACACCACGCTGGGCCACGAGGATGGCCAAATCGCGGATCAGATCATCGGAGTTGGGAGCCTTGAGAAGCTCTGCCAATTGGATACCTTGCTTGAACTCGGTACCAACGACGCGAGTGACATCGAATTTCTCGTACTTGTCGAGAGCGCCGGTGTACTTGGGAGGAGTGGGGAACTTGTTGCGAGTGGACTCGTCTTTGACTGTGAGAACGCTGGGCAGGGTCTCGGTGATGGGCAAAGTGGTGGTGATAGTGGTAGACATGATGGATATACTCTGAGTGAAGGCCCCGGGGCTTTGGAATGTTATATTGCGAGATTGTTTTCTTCTGTGTTGTAGGGGCCGTTAGGTCTGCTGAAGAATTGTTCTTGCGGGACGGGAAACCTGGCTTATATAGAAATCCGGGGGGTGCTGGATGGGTGGGTCGCCGATACTACGTTACCTTAGAACAGTATTGGACGGGTCCTGCGATACCAGCATCGAGCGTACCGGTTCCCGTTTATCACCCCCCGTCGCAGTAGAACTATCTCCACGGTGCTACTCAAGTCTCAAGAGTGCATGCATATCAGCTGTCTTATTCTTCGTAATTCGCCGTTTTTCGACCCGGGAGAAAAAAACGAAAGAAGGAAAAAAAAAATCTACGGTAGCATCTGCGACGATATTCCATCTGCGGCCGTATTTGCATGGTGACTGCACTTGCACTCACGACGGACAGTCTGGTTCGGGTTGCCCGGTGGAACAGGTAATGGAAGCCTTCGCGACGCTAAGACTAGAATTATGAAGTACTAGGTCACATTTCCTACCAATCTCTGCCGTCCAGGAGCAGATACTGAGAGGTGCGATAAAAAGTCTACAAAATTGTCAAAACAGGACACCATAATCCCGATGTCGCAGGGTAAGATCACACCCGACTACACGGGGGCGGTACAGAGCGTCGAATGTCTGTGGAACACGTAGAGTGGGGGGGAAATAGAGACAAGTCGTTATCGACCCTAATGCCCTCCGCCGTGAATCCCGGTAACCATTATTCTCCCGTTCTCGTTCTTTCACAGGCAATTGCACCCCCCCCGCCCTCCGAACTTGCACAATGAGACCAAGAGCATGTGTAGAATCTCTTGTACCCGTACGGTACAAGTACACGCTCTCACGCCGGTTCCGCTGAATATTCCTGGTGCTTTAAAGAACGAGCTTCCAGACCTATTTTGACCGTGGATCCTGAGCAAACAGTATTGGCCACGATTGTCACCCAAGTACTATTACAAGTACAGGTAGCACGCTTGAGGCACCAGAACACAAGGATCAAGATATGGTAAATTGATTGAGTGCATCTGAGCGCCTATGCCAAATTCAGACCCAACTGTTCGGGGTGCAGTTACTAAATTATACTTCATGCCGGAGACCTGCACAGGGGTAAGGGGGAAGTAATTAGGACAAACAGGGGTATAGAGGGCCTGTGCAGAAATTCCTTTATCCGGATAAGATGAGGCTCCAGGATATCTAAAAGGGAAAATAACGCCACCCGGGTAATAGCCAAGCCAATAAATTGCCATTTCTTTTACAATATTCTTTACACAGACATTTGCTCCCGTGCTTGTCCCAATATCGGTACTTCACCCCTGATCCGCTTGAATTAATGAATCCTGAACTATTCATTAAGTTAGGGGTTAGACCGACCCCCGACTGTTTTTTTTTAGTGCACATGTACACAACCCTGGATGTCAATGCATGCGCACCACCGCAAGAACTCAACAACGCTGCCCATTGGCTACGTGATGGAAGAATTGTAATGGCGCTGGAGTTTTCTCCTCTTCGCTCATCGGATTCCCCGGCTTCATCTGGTGATGGTTGCCTTTCGGGTATGGTCCGTGTGCACCGAGCTGCATATTTTACACTTGTTCCACCACACAGACCGTTCTGTATATCTGTAAATTAGAATTGTACGAGCTTTTTTTTTTTTCCTTCTGCATCGCATCGACGCGAGTAATAATATTCCAAGCGAGTATATTGGAATTGACTGGACAGGCACAGCCGCAGCCGTGCTAGCGCGTACTAGTACTGTACAGTGACCCTAGGCAGGGTTCTAGCTACAACTTCCAAGACAAAGAGTCCACAACTGAATGCCATTGCGATTTTTCAGTTTTCACCCACAGGGCGAACTAGTTCGTCTCTTTACAAATGAGAAGATATTTCTACTGTAATAGGAAGATTTCGTATCCGTGCCAAGTCTAACGTGGGCGGCTGGCTGTTACAAGTACTGTACTACCGCGCCGGTATTGCGGCCATCGCGCAATCTCGAGGGTTGCGGGTAATAGTTTGCTGGCAGCGGGGGGGGCATAGTACGAGTACTGTACAATACATACTCAATTCGTTTCGAGTGACCCTAACCGTTCTATTTCGCCCAATGAACTCATAATGGCACTAAACCTACGTTTCGCAATCTAAGGAGGAGGTCGAGAAAAGCATTCCTGACCGCACTCTCGGCAGTCCCGCTTCTTCATCATACGATCGCGCGTAAGGGAACCCATTTCCAATGAGTCGGTCAAAATCGAAAGCGTAATTACCAACCTTAATAGTCTAGCGCAGTCCTAGTCTGAGCCCTCGCGGCGATTCCCTCTTAACTTCAAGATGAGGTTTGTACGTGGCACCGACGACCCTTCTCCAACTGCTGGATTCAGTAGAAATCCCTCTCATATTGGCCAAGCGGGGCGCCGAGGAATGCGACGGGCCGATATGTGCTGGTCAAAACAGGGAGAGGAGAGAATAAAGCTACCGCATCGATGTCAACTTGTGAGGGCGTGATCTCATTTCGCAGGAAATTTCTTTTTGGGCTAAGTTGAGGAAAAGATAAAAACATGAGCCCGGCATGATATACTTGCTTTTGGGCCAACTAAGCTTTGGGGGCAGACTGTCACTTCAGAGGATTCAAGGAAGTTTCCATCATTTTGTAATAAATGGGTCATGGCCAAAAGAAAACGGGGATCATCATAAGAGCTCACTCGGATTTCGGGAGTCACTGGTTTGGTAATCCGTAGAAGGTGGAGCTGGATATCCAAGGTGGCCCCAAGGGAAAATATGATGCTCGATACCTCATGTTACGAACTGTAGGAATTTAACTCGAGTCATAGAGTCGGGTTCCTTCTGCTTGGCCAGGGCGAAGTTACGACACACATTACTAACCCCCCCATCTACTGTTGTAGACCGTTATGATAAAACCTCAAATATTTGACAATCACGAATTTCCCCGGTCCTTCCGAAGAAGCGGTACGATATTGGACACCCCTGAGTTTGTTGTGTAAAATCCATTCCACCAAGGGTGCCCTGCTGCTCATGGTTTTCAGCATACTCGAGTAAAAGGAGAGGCAGGAAAAAGGAAACTGAGCGAACACACTACACCGATGGAGAACTCCGGAGGAGGGGGGTGGATCCTGTGAAAAGGTGATGAACTTTTCTGAGGGAATTGCACGTTATCAGTGTCCACTTGCCGTAGTGGTAAGGTCCAAGGGTTTTCAAAACGGACCGACACAGTATCACAGGCGTCAAAGTGCACTGAGATTAGAGAAGCCCCTTATATCGTTGGGGTGCATGGTGACTAGATTTGGCGGAAGAACGGACCACCGATACGAAGAGGATGAACTTCATGAGTGTGCCGATAGTCTACCAAGACATACTCGAGCAGCCGGTGGTAGCGCTCGGATGCGTTAGTCTGCAAACATTGCGCCTTCCTTGCCAAACAGCTAGCCGCCGCGGACGCAGTCCGCAACGCCATAACACTGCAGCGTACAAGTATGCAGCAGGTGCTAATGCTGCTGGAGTCCAGAGGCGCGGCAATTCCCTATCATTTTCTTTGTCATTTTTCGCTCGCCTATTGCTAATATAGGGTCGTCTGCATAAAGCACTGGATAGGCACAGGAATACGTGGCTGGAATCTAGTGGTATAAAACCGATTAATCGTTTACAAGCTTCCCCCATGCCTCAAATGAGGGGAAATTTTATAAAGTGTCTTGACATTAATCTTTAGGCGCCTTTACCCGCGGTGTGTGGAGGAGATATTTGCGCGCGTGGGAAGGGACCAAGCCCTGAGCCACAATAGCACGTTCGCGGGTCGCTCGCTGAGCACCGATACGTTACAGCACAACACCGCACAAGAAGGTCGGTTACACTAGAAATGATAGATTCCCACTGTTGCTATCGATGGCGGATCGCAACTCCCTGACGTTCCCTAGACGTGGGACTTGGGTGGGCCCTCCCTGCCGGATTTCCTAGCGGAAGTCATGTAACACGGGACAAAGTGACAGTGAGCTCGGCTGGCCCCTCGGGGGTGAGTTATGCAGGACCAATACTAGTACCTTACCTAAAATGAGCACCAGAACCGGGAGTGAGGATATGGGTGAGAAAAGAAAAGAATTGTGGGGAAGAGCTACAGTATGGGAAGCAGCCCTGTTGTGCGTGCCTCCCCCGCTCCCTGCACTGCGTGGTTATAATATTTGGATGCCCTTGGGTGGCTGGGACTTGACCGTTGGGTTGGAATCATGTCATCTCTTGGGATTTCACAATACTTGTGATTCAGAGCTGATACTTGTGGTGTGCTTGCAGTTGCACCCTGCTATCCCGGACGGCCAAAATCCACAAAACCTATCCGGTACAGCCGGTGATCCGGGACTTCGGGTCAGGTTTTGGTGTGAAGAAGTTTAGAACTCGTCCGGGATAGAGAAGTCATCGGATTCTCGAGATCAGGGATAGAGGAGTGTGGCCATAATATGAGTTTAGTTTTTCAGGTTATGAAAACTTGCTCACACCCCACACTATCTTAGGGATGGGGTAGCTGGGCCTCTCTTGAGCCAGAAGTCCTGTAGACTCCCGGGATATACGAGACGAATTAATGGAGCCCACCAGGGGGCAAGTGCTGGAGGAGCCCGATAAAGAAAATAACTGAGCTAGAAAACCAAAAAACGGGGCGAAAGTGATGAAGTCAGACTTTAGTCCAAGTTGTCACATCTCTCCCCAAAGGCGTAGGACGTATCATATATCTTGGATCAAGATGGTGAGGAATTTCCAGGCGAAATTGCAAGGGTATCGTCATGTGGATTTTAGTAGTTAATCTTCAAGGGTATCGGCTGGATTATTTTTTCTGACCCCTCCGGGTTTCCGGAGGTCTATTATCGAAAATATTATCAAAAAAGTAATCCAATTCTTAGTGTAAGGCTCCTTGAGGGGTAGATTACTACTGCTATAGAACTTGGACAGTAAACTTGTTTAGGGGTAGAGTGTGATACGTGTATCTGGGCGTGGGTTCGAGATTTGCACGGGGGGGTAATGACGTTCCGGCACAATACGAGTACCAAACCCGGGGGGGGGTGGAGAACGATATTCTTGGCCACCCACACTCGTAGTGGGTACTCGAGTACAACAGCATGGCACCCCCTCACGGCACGGGGAGACTCTTCACCCCTGCATCTGATACTGGTGCGAAGTTGTGTCAATCTCGTGGTTCACAGAATGGCACAGGATTGTGCGAATATGTTGTTGACCGGTTTCTTTTTTTGCTTTTTCATCAGGAGGTATGTTACCATCACCACTATCGTTAGTCTAGGAGGCATGTCGACTGGCAGTATTACACCCTCTAAATACCATATGGACCAAGAAGGTACATGCCGGTCACAAACTAGGGTGTGTTTCCGCCCTATCCCGCCCCAAAAGTGAGTTCAGCACTTACTCGTACAGCTTCTACGCCAGTGAGATACAGAATCTTCCGTCATTAATGTAACTTACGCATCGTGCCCACACACATCAGAAAAACTCCCTACTCTTCATTAGGGCTTCGACGTCCTGCTTCGCCAGCACTAGCCTAATTGGGTCTAAAAGAGGAGACTCTGAGACCTTCACTATTGCCAATTCCAAAGATGGATAGAAACTGGAGATCTTACTACCATACTAAGGAATTTCCTTTCCGGTAGGACACAAGCAACTGGAGTGTGTGTTTTGTCTGGTGGGTTCCTAGGAGCGCAGCAGTTGGGGTCAGGTAGGACAATGTTTGCTCAACATCCTTGGATATCGCGCCTGCTGTCGGGGTATCTCGTACAAGTAAACGAAACGGGCAGGCCATCCCTGTTCCGATCATGCAAGCCTTAGAACTCGAGTACCGGTATATCCCAGATAGGAGTTCGGAGTCTTGGCCTAGGAGAACAGTACTTCCCGAAAAAAATGGTCTGTTCCCGACCTTCACCTGTGTGCCGGGAGGCAGTGTGCCGGGAGGGGAATTTTTGAACCACCCTTTACTCATGGCACCGGATGAAGCGTGGTTCTGAACCCCCCTCCCGGAGTGTAGGTAAAGGTCTAGGACAGACTTCTTTTTGGCCAGTACTCGTGCTTGTGCCGCACCATGCTGTCGGGAGGGTCTTGGGCGTTCGGTGGTTGGCTGGAATCGTCACCAAACCACTTGCGCTACTGCATAATACTCGAGTACGAGCACTGGTATCGGTGAGCTCTATTCCAAGTATTGCTATCATTTGTGGAGGTTGGCTTGAATCCAATAATAATAATATTCGGGGATCTGAAGAGAAATGAATTTTGTTGGTCCCAATCATATCATAAAGGCTCGAGTCCTAGCCCCGATTAAAATTCAGTCATGACTGGTTCTTTTTTGATTTAGTTTATTCACGATAGAGGACATTATTGGGCGGTAGATAAATTCCGCGAATGTTCGAGAGGCTGGCGTTTCTATACCCTGTTCCCAATCCAGAGGGGGGAGAGGTTGTGGGGGGACAACCCGCTGGAGCCGAGGGTGGCCACCAAACCCCACCCTCCCGGAGCACAGCTTTCTCGTGCTCCACACCACCATGTTCGGTGCCAGTAAGGTACTTGCACAGGGGAAACAGAGAGCTGCGGAGACGATTTTCGGACTGCCAAAAGTCAGGGCGTCTGCATTCTCCAAACACCCAGGGATCTGGTCTTGGAGTACTGTACCGTATAGCACTCGTACTCGAGTACTTGAGCTGGGTAGAAACTGCATAAGAAAAAAAGCAATCGCAGCACGCATTTATTTACTACCTGAGCTTGGCATCCCAAGGACATCAACCCTGCACAAATTCCAGGGCAAACTTATTTCCCCACGGAACTATCGTTCTTGTGTCAGATCGGCTGATGAAGCTGTTGGTGGGTGGGTACTCCGGTGATGGGGTAAAGGGGCTACAGGGGTAAATTATTCTGCTGCGCTGGGGATTCCATGTTCTGCGAATCACCCCTCTGTGAAACCATGGGGAGCATTAACTTAGTATCCATGATTAATTATCTTCTATGTGCCAATATTCATGTCGAATTAGTAGGTGTATTGAATTAGAAACACAAGCGAGAAAAAGGAACACCTCTTTTCCCGCTTCTAGGTTGTCTGTCGAAAAAGTCCGCCGGGGCATCGGTTTTGCTTTTCCACGCCTGCTTGATGTCCACCAGGTTGCTGGGGAAAGACTTGAGGCAGCCACTCAGCCGCTCAGGCACACTTATGCATGGACACGTTCTTGTCTCGCGGATTTCCTGTGGGGTTCTCGCAAGAAGGGATGTCTCAATCTACTCTGTTCCATGCTCTGGTTGGGAACGGTTATGGAAGTCGGCCGGGTATCAATGTCCCCACTTGCAACTGTTATTATACCACAGCAGCACAATTTTTCAATTGTATTTCGGAAATTTCACATACTGATTGCTCAGCGAAAATTCGATCACTCTGGCGTGCGCCACGGATTTTGAAAAAAACCGAAGTATCATTCCATTATCAAAGGGCCGAGGACAAGACAATTCCAGAGGGATGTACTCTCAGGCAGTGCCGTAGCGCTCTTTGCCCGGAATTTTTTTGTTTGAGTCAGCTTATGCACTGGCTTCTCCTGGCCCCTCTGCTACTGATCTCTGCTTGACTTTACCATAGTTTCTGTCGTCTACGAGTGATATATCGTGATCCTCTCCATGAACCCACCGAACATAATAGGGGGGATATGAGAAAAACGGTTCGTGTCGGTCAAGCTTAAGCTGGGGGCATCGATGCTGTATTGGAAGATTAAGGGTTCGCAAATTGCGTTCCGGGCTTATGATGCATGGGGTGAGCGGGGCTCTAGAAGAAATTGGTTTACTTGAGCGGGAAGTCGTTCCTGGGACTTGGAGTCACTTGGGGACAAATGTGTTCCCACCTCTAAACACCCCTTCGTCAAGCTTCCGATTACCTTGTACGGTGCTCGAGTAAGGACCACATCCCGGGGTCCCCCTGCTGTGCCCGGTTATCCTTTCCCCCCGGAGCTGTAGGGACTGACTCCAGTATCGTCCACCCCCCCTCCCGATCAGTTGGGCTTCACAGCTTGCTCTGAGGGAGGCAGCCGCCACATCTGTTTGGCATCCGTTTATTCACGGAGTCCCCCAAGATCTCCAGCATCTAGATTTGCTCACTCAACGAACATACCGTTTTTCTCTCCTTTGATAATTTTATTGATAACCTCTATTTCCTGGATCCATGGTGCTGGCGCATAGCCCTATTGGCACCATATTGAAGTGAGAATTAAAATACTGTTTGAGAGATGCTATATCTTCGCAGGAGAATAAGGGTTTTAAGCTTGGGCGACTTGCGTTGATCATGGTCCAATTTTTGGGCCCGGCTGGGAGGTGGGAACCTCCACTGCTCTTATCCTCTGACCCCTTGCTTCCTGCTAACAAATGATGAGCTTAGACGAGATTTTCCTCTCTCCGAACATAGTCCCGAGGCTACACGGCTGCGCGATGTCCATAAACCCGATTTGTTTTGGGGACGAAGGAGCAGGTTTCAGCATCGTCCTATGCTCTTCCTGGCTACCAAAACCTTCCACTATTGCCATTTCCCAAGGGTAGGGGATGCCTACCGCCAACTGTTTCACAACATCATGACAGGTGATTAGATTGGTAGGTATGGACCCGGTGTTGGGAAGTTGGTCTACTAGTGTCGGACAACGCTTAAGTTTAGATTGCCGGCGTTACCGTACCATATCCACGGAAAACGATCGTTGGGTTGATCTTACTATTTTTCACCCGGTGATCCATCCTGGGATCTCTGCAACAGTATTTTTGTAGAAGGCTTGTGCCGAAGCTTGTCTTGTTTTTGTTTATATCAATACATAGTCGATTATTATATGTTTCCGAATTTGAGTGCGTAGAAGACTTGCTTCCGTTCAGAATAAGAGTTCCCTTCACACACCCCAATTCTCGGGAAGAGTTGTCACCCGCTGAGTCAGTTCATCTCCACCCCGCTGATAGTGCAATACCCAGAAGAAAAAGAGGAAACCGTGTCTTCGATAATGACCACTTAGAAGCACAGTAGAAGATAAACCCCCATCCGATAAAACAAACCATTCCAGTTCAGCCAGTCCAGTCCACCGGTCAGTTTGTCGCTTACAGTAGCCTACTCGAGTTAGCCCTAAATTACAATTTTGAGTTAGGAGAAAGCCGATGTAAGTAAGTGGCTCACTCCTCTTTAGCTGGAAGAGCGATTTTTATTCTCAATTGTGACTTAGACACTCGATGTCACATTGTGGAATCCCGGGAGGGGGGAGGTGACATCCTGTAGTAGATATCACAAACTAGGATCCCTCTTCATCACGAATATTCAAGCGAAGAGGTGTCTTTACCCAGTCCGTGCTGAATTCACTCCAGAGAAAATAGGGCTACAGGTCATTCACACGGTGTGTGATAGTTGAGCGCCTCACTCTTGTCTGCTCAAACGCCGTCTAACTGTTCCTGATCTACTCGTACGAGAAGCGATCGTGTTTGGGCAGCGGGTGGGCAGTTAATTGTTTAATAGTCCCCATGATAGTTCTCTGACTATTCTTCATACAGCGTACAGTACCGGTATGTCTTCCTGCTCGGGGAGTCTGTGTGCATTGAGCTGCGCACCAAGGACTCATTGGGCAATCCTGCAGGCCGTATTTGCACATCAAATATTGCCTGACAGATAGCGTGATAAAATTTGAGAGGGGGTACGAGTGCTGGTGATTTCCAAACCCCACGACAAAAGCACAAAAGTGCCCTCACACTCATAAATGAAGGGCAGAACCAGGGACCCTTGAGATTAACACCCAAACTTATTACCCCACTATACCGTTTCCAATGGAACACCTCTATTCGTAGATGCCCTATCAATCTCTAGATCACCCCTCTCGGCGAAACAAAACACCAAATGTATCCCAGTAAAATCGGTTTCTTTCCCAAGTGCATTTCGCGATCGGTGTGGCCTCAAGCCTCCGGAGTGCGGTTGCATCCGCAATGGTTCAGTACCGTAGCTAATCGCATAAAAACAACGGCCCCCCACTTTCCCGATTCGTCGTTGCGTTCCGCAGACATGTGTGTCTCGGCACTGGAGTACAGCAGTTGGTGCGTTGGCCATATTTTCTTATTTGCTTGTGTGAGTTACGCGACCAGGGCGGCCAATTGATTGGGCAGATCATATTATGTGGGGCTTAGGTAAGGGTGCCGATTGGGGGTTGCGGGCCGCAGCCGTCCGCTTCCCCGATTAATGTGAGCATTCGCATTGTCCAGCCTTGTTGGGTGTGGGCATTTTTGTCGAGTGAGATGTGGTGAATTGGAGATGGTATGGGAGAGCGGGAGAGCTGCTCATTCTTGAAATTTCGAAACAAGGGCTTCGCACCGGCAGACAAAGCTGAGGATTCGCGAGTTGGCGAGGATCATTTAAATGAGGAGAGAAAAACATAAAATTTTAGCAATGAACAGATGGATTATTCTTGCATCCAAATATACTCGATCCATCCGACCCGTCTAAACTTTCCAAGACAAACACCCTCAATGGAGCACACAGGGAGAGCTGGGGTGTCTGTAATTATAATTAGTAAATCCGATTAAAGGAAACTTCGATCCACAAACCTGTCACTTTGCTCGCCGGGCTCAACCTCAGGCATATTCTTTCTTCCTACTTCTTAACCTTGCTCTATCGCGGCTTCACTTCCCGATGCGTTATCTACTCTATATCTCACATACAGGACGGCTCCAGCAAGAAGGACGGGCCCATATTACGCTAAATTGATAGCATGGCCTTACACATAGAGTGGGACCTGCTCACTCCCGGAGATTTGTCCCGCGATGGCACCGCAGGCACTCCCCATGGGAAACACTATCCCTTGTGGTGCAGAGCTGGGCTCGAGCCAGGAGCGTTATTGACCAGCAGTGATCAGATTACCGGTATAGGAACAGACATGAATGTCACCAAGAAAAACAAGACCCACATCACAAAATTACCCCTCATGACCATCAGCTCGATCAACAATGCGATAACGCCTAGACCAGGAAAGTAATGTCTGAACCGATCGTGACGCTTACCGGAAGTATGCCCTTCCACGAGGGCTCAATAAATCACAACCCGTAGGGCGAACATATTACTATAGAAGTATGATAGAGCTGATGGTGCCCAAGAACCCTAATTCTGTGACGACTCTAGGCAGTGAGAGGAATATACCTCGCGAGGCGGGCTGTCACCTATAGCCACTTTCGGCAGTCCGTGAACTCACTACTTATCTACTCCAAACCGAATGCTTTTGTTGAGTAAAGTGCTCAATAAACTTGAGCACTTCTTGGATAATTACGGCTTCCTCCTTTTCCGTTAACCAAGATGCGGTATCGGGCTAGTTTGACATAAAAATAAAAGCAAGACTAAAGCCGATTGTAATCATGCCTCCGATCATGAAGATCCGGCTTGCTACCTATGTTAGTCCTAAGAAAAGTGTGAAAATATGCTTGCCCGGATTCAGAAATTCCGTCAGCCCCTCCAAGACCATTGATTCCTGTAGTTGACAGCTTTCCGGGTCCCTCAGTTCATAACACGGAGGCGTATGGTGATGCGTATCTCTTTCCCTGCACCGACCGTGAACATCAACAACCGACTATATCAAAATTAGCTTTGAATTCTCTGCCTGAACGTGGATGCGGGACGAAACCCAACCACGGAAATGCAATCGGTACGTATTCACACATCTTCAGGACACTACAAGAATATTTACTAAATAAGTCCGGTCAAGAATCCACGCCCCGCAGCTCCGAGAGAGGAACTCACAGGAAGTATCCTGGAGGAATCGTAAACTGTTGACACAACATATCACGCTCCATGTCGCCTATCATGATTAACACGCTTATGGTGTTGGGGCAATGGCTAAACCTACGGTTGGTAGCGGAATACGTTATTCTGGGCCAATTCTCTTGAGAAGGATTTGTGATGGCGTGTCGCGAACTGCGTGTCCGACGGAAAGATGGAAAGTGCCCAGTTGTACTTGTGGGGGGATAACTGTAGCTCTCTCCTCATTCCTAAAACCCGAGCATTCCCAACAACTGCTCTGATTACCATCGCTAACTCACCGTTCGTCGTGTTTTTTTTTTGATGTTTTTTTTTTTAGGGGGGGGTGGCTAACCTGTTCTATAGGGTGCAAGGGGTAACAACATTAGCATGGGCATTGTGCGGACATCCATCTTCATTCACCCTCGCAGAATAGCCTCCTCATATCGTTGAACTCCGCGGGAAACAACCCAACTATCGATGGAAAACCTAAGCAAAACAACCTCTTTCCCTATTTGTGCCATGAAATTTAGCCGGAATATCGAAACCGCGGGAAACAGACTATGATCGCCGGCATTTCTGAAACACTCCCGACGTTATATTCCCAAAGGATGACCAATTTCCTTCTTCAACCTTTGTTTTTACCCCAATCCTTCCTTCGGAACCCCACATCCCCTCTCGCAAGTACCTCGTGAATTCCGCCATACTAGATATGAGCGGAGGCCTCCCGTCGTGAGAACATATGTAGCCAGATTTGTAGGAGGTTTTTGTTGACTCACGCTTTGGGTTGCTGGGATAAGGCCCTAGATACTAAGCCGGGAAGCTTTCTCAATGGGAACGGTGGAACTAGCTGGGAGCGAGGGACTTTTGTATTCCTGTATTTGGCGTGCTAAGTGGGGCTGATATGCGCGAAGAATCGATAGAGCTGTTGAACCGGTTGATTCCCGGAGGTGATGGTACAAGAATAGCCGTGACCGCTTAAGAGTGAGGGGTCTTTTTCAGAAATCTTTGTGTTCACTGCAACCTAAAAATATGCTGTTGAAGCGTGAATCGAGGGCCACCCGGGTATATTTAATTTGGGCCAGTAAGGTTGCCGAAATTATCATCCCCAATTCCGCAAAAATCGCTACGGACTCCGTGATCCTCGACTAAGGCTCTCTAACACACTAACCATTCAAAAGAGTTTCTCGTTACTGGTCAACCCGTTACATAATCATGCCTCACTTTGCAGATTTAGGGAAGCACCATCAAGCTTGATATTTTATATAATACGGGTACAATACTCGAGAGCGGTAGTAGACTAGTGTAACTTATCACAAACTTCTTTGCCTGTACTAGTACTGTACATACATTACACCACCAGAACTCATTTTAGTAAAACGAGCGTAGATACCTAACTCAATCGTTTTAAAGATAACAACAGGACACATACGGTATCCGTTGGACAGCACCGTACCGTACTCATGACGGGCGGTGTCTCGCCCTGCGATAGAGTAAAACTCTTGCGTTATCTCCAGACGCAAAAAAGAGAAAAAATTAACCAGCGAGCCAACTGATTGATTCCATCTTTGAGCCTAGAATTCTACCGGCATTGTACGGTATAGTACTGTACAGTATCCATCATACTACGGTAGCAATTTTTGTTCCTAAATACCTCCCCCTCGATGTATCATATCTGACAAATAAAGACCGAGGGACACAATGCTATGGCATTTGACATTCCCTTGTTTCTTAATTATTAAACAAAAAATATATGGGGAATAAGCACTGTAATTGCAAGAGAAACCCAGCGGTATGATTGGGTTTCGTGCTTTGTCTCGTCCCTCACTCGCCAGGCCACACCCG